GTTTTAAATTCAATTTTGCACGAGGAATGATAATGAGAGCGTTATCAATTATCGCTGGTATCCTCGTTGCAAGTGATTAAGCGAACGATATTAATTCTGATACTTTCGAGATATCAGGTCTTGTGGAAGAATCGAAAACAAATTGAAAGTATGTATACACTGTGTACACGAATGGAATGGCGTGGGTTAAACAAATATTTTGTGCACAACTGATAAGAATTTTCCACAAATTCGAACTTTCTATAAAATTTTATTCAAAGGTGATTTGAATTTCCCGCAATATTTTTGGCAAAGGTGATTCGAATATTCTATGAAACAATTTCGGACAAAAGTGATTTGAATTTTCTATAAATTCGAACTTTCTATGAAATTTTATTCAAAGGTGATTTGAATTTCCCGCGAAATTTTATGCAAAATTGATTTGAATTTCCCGCAAAATTTTGTGCAAAAGTGATTAGAACTTTCCATATACGTAACAACCGTTTTTTCGTTTCCAAAATATTGTGGGATAAAAGTATACGCATTTCAAATCGAGAGGACGACCAAGTTATCGTGGAAGGTTTTTGCTAATCGATCGCGATCGCGGGCCGTTCGCAAAAGGCGAACTTTCTCGGAAAAGCTCGGTCAGGCCTCGACGGCGGCGTCGCGAGCCTCGGAACCCAGCCAACAACAGGCCGTGGCTTGTACAAGTGTATTTAGGTAGATACGCGAGGCGGAGTTAAATTTAGCGCGGGCCGACCTGCGCGTTACCGCGCCGCACAAAATGCTTCCGATTATTTTATTTTTAGGGCTTCGACGCGTCGCGGCTTCACCCCGCGGAGAAGGTGAAGACACCTGACGGTGTCCGATCAAACTGACCAATCGAACTTCGCTTCAAAATTATTCCATTAAACCTTCTCTTCCTCTACCCCTTCCACATGTCCTAAAAAAATGGAAAAAAGAAAGCATCCGATACAAGGTAATCGTAAATTGCACTATAAAGAGGAGAAATCAGAATGAAAAGAGAACAGCTGCAAAAATATTCTATCGACCACAAATCGTCTAGTCAACCATGAACAAAAAGGAATCTAGATGGGGGACCTCTACTCGACAGTGTAGCAAAAACAGGCACAAAGTGTTTTATCATAGATGGAGAAATCAGTGGTCTATTAAAAAGGACTTCGTTCTAACGATGAATCGTCGTCATTAGCGTTCACTGAACGATCCAATTGTATGAATCTACGAAAAGTCTGAGGGGTTCCAAAAGTAAGAAGATGTATAACGAACACAGAAAGAGAGAGAGAGAGAGAGAGTGTGATCGTTCAAATGCTGACACGATAGACGCAGAGCGTTAAAAATACATCGCGTGGTCAACTGGCCACGGCACGTGGCAATGAACAATTTTCTTGTGCCTTCTTGATCGAAGGGTCGTTCACACCTGCGAATTTTCCTGATGACGAGGCGTTTCAGAGAAGATGGCCTAGAGTGGGATAGTACGCGAGGCTAGGAGAGTCACGTAGCTGATCAGACGAGAATGGAATCGGATGGAGCTTAACCGCGGGGCTCGAGCAAGGTTCCGAGACGTTCAAAATTGGATGATTCGTAGGCGTGGACCTAGAAACCCGTTGGTGTATTTCCATCGCGACTGAACGTTGATCTCTGCGGTCGCGGGCAAAACCATCGAAAACGATCGTCTTTGACTGAGTGAGTGGAAATTGTTACGAGATCTAGGTACTTAATCAGACGGATTAGAATTAATCTTGTGAAGTGGAGATTCGATAGGAGTCGTTGATCGATATTTCGTTCGATTTCTCGAAAGCTGCGAAATCTTTTTGATTCGTTTCATTAGTAAGTGTAAATTTTCTTATCGACGATATAAACTCTCTTGAACAACGCGAGAGAGACTGCATTCGCGTGCGCCAACGTTTACGAAACACTCGATACAGTGTGAACGTCTGAACAACGGATCATTCATTCGGAGGAAAATTTCGCGGCGAGTGACGTCCAACAGAGCAGTATTTCTTTTTTTCTCACAGCAACCGCGAAAATTCACTAGTGGTTCCAAGCGGGACGGCCAAGACTGGACCAAGCGTAGGCGTGTGTCTAGAGGAACGTGGCCAACGCGAGGGTTATATTTTTGCGCAAATATTATCGTCACCTTAAACTACAAAGCACATTCGTACAGCTAGCGACGTTAGCCTGTGACGTAGAACTGTGGTTTAAAAAATTCGAGAAGAAAAATATGAGAATCGAGTGATATTTACGATGACGAAGATACAACGTCGAAGATAGAATTTCATAGAAATGAGAGAAAGAGGAAATGGCGGAAAAGGGGTAATCGAACGGTTTCGATGCATCGATTATTTCATCGAGCTGCCCGTTGAGATTACTCATCCGTGTGGATATAGAATCTCATCGTGGGTGGCGACTATAAACATGCCTGAAGCCTCCCTTGCCACGATGCATCGACTTAGAATTTCCTCTTCCTTCGAGATAACCTCCTCAGGCTTTTGTTCACTTTTCTTTTTATTCGAACGTCGTGTATTATTTTTTACCAGCTATGTTCAGTTATTAACCCCAAGGAGAGACTCAGTCTAGAATGGTTTCGCGTAATATTTGCGATTATTTATAACTTATACCGTTCTCTCGGCCAAATGGTGCCAAGTTGGATATTGTTATGCTGCGTAACAAATGCACGATGATTTTACACTTTCCGTAATGGTGTACTTTCTTATATAAATAGATGGAAACTCGTGTTGCAGGAAACACGGATCTTGTTTGACTTAGTTTCGATAACGACAGAAAAGTTTCTAATTTTTTTAATAGTCCAAGAGAAGAGAAAATTTTGAGGTTAATAAAAATTCCACGCAGTTAACAGAAGTTTTCTCAATAATCAATCCAACTAAATAATCGATTTAATCTCTAATAAAATTCAAATTTAAACAAATTTCTAGGTATCAAGAAATTCTAGTTGTACGTTATTTTTTAATTATTCCATTTTATCATTTCTCGTTTGAAGCACACACAAAGCTACGATCGAGAGGAGGTCGATCGGCCGCGCGAGATAAATCGATACCACTGAAGCATTAATCACAGCCGGTATATCGAACAGTCACGATCTCCTCCGCGAAGAATCTTTCGATGAATGCTCCACGGTGTTTTCCTTTTTGACGACGAAATATAGGTCGAGTAGCTCTTTCTTGGAATCGTCGCAAGGCTCGAACTGCCATCTTCAAGCGAACGGGTTCCTCGAGCTTCACCATTCTTGGTCAATTTTACCATTCAACACCGTCGAAGAAAAATAATAACGGAGAAACACAGAGAAACCATTAGGAAGTACACAATATTCTCGATATAAGCAACGGTTGGATCAGCATCTTAGATTTATCTTTTCTAATAATCGCTCTTGGCAGTCGACTCTGTTTACCGATTCGCTATTTATGCAATTTTATGCTGCTCTAAATAAACGCGTGAATCTTCACCTAGGAAGTCCATTGAAACGCCATTAAAGGTAACCTTCTAAAAAAAAATTATTCAACCTATCGAGAAGAATTAATTGAAATTTAAAAAAACAACAAACAGGAAGAAGAAATATTGCAAATGTGAAATTTCTTTCGTAACATGTTACGCGAATAAGGGGAGTTATGCGGATCCCATGAACGAGGAAGATCCCGACCTTTCTCAATCCCCTAACTCCAAAGAGTCGCCGCTATTTCTGTACAACCTGGAAGCAAGGAAAATCAACCGCGAAGATTATCGCAACAGTCACCATCATTCCTCCACTTTAAACTCTCTGCGAACCTTCTCAAACAATTTCAAACTTTCTCGATCGTTCTTTGCAAACCTATTTCTACAATGTATGAACATTTTCAGATGGAATCGAACTGAAAGCTTAAATCAAAGTGTCTCAAGAGGCGAAACATTGGCGGAGAAGTCGAATGAAGCGAGAAAAAAAATGGGAAAGAAAAACCTGTTGGTCGTTCGAGTCCTTTCGAGAGTCAAACTAGGAACCAGTTCCAACCTATCCTACCATTTGTGGTGGCTCGAGGCCTTCCTTCTCGTTTGATCACGTTCGATATCGAGGAAGTTTCGACGAAACGTTTCTTCGTGTCTGATTAACGAAGTTTCCTTCCACGACAAGCGGAAAAATCTTCGATGTTTCTAACCCTTTTGCTACCGTAGCGACTGTAATCGGTCGCTATCGAGCGATTTCTGTATAGTACGGGAGAGTATGATGGTTCGTTGTAGAGAAACAATCACTGCATAGTACGAGCAACTACAGTCAGTCAGAAAAGTCTGCGTACACTTTTCATTAGAATTTATTTAGCATTGCGTATACGTAACATTTAGTATCAGTAGAAAGAAGAAGAATTTACATTCGTTTGTTAATCATTAAACAAAGAAATATAAATATTTTCCTTATATCTGCTCCAACGTGGAAAATATTTGAGTAACGTTTATTATACTTGCTTGCAAACAGGAAACTAGCTTGAATTTACCTTGGAAGTATTTCTCGAGCCTTGTTTGTAAACATTCTACTGAATTCTTAGATACTACACGGATCTAACTTCTGTTACCTTATTCTTTCTTCTTAATTTATTTACATTTAATTCGCACGACACATAGACCTCATATTTTAAGACAGCAGGTATTCAGTAGAAACTTTACGAACCTTTTTCACTCAAAATTTTCTATACAAAATTATTTTATTTACGTTTGTATATTATATAAACGAAGAAAAATTGTTACCAACGTAACTGCGCAATGCACGCGTCCCACGTATGATGTGACTGTTTTTCTGCAGCGATGATCGTAGCGAAATGGTTAACCCTTTCACGGTTCAGCTCGAAAGAGACTTGAGAACTGCGTCAAATACTGTTTATTTCAAAACTTCGGGTAGAAACGAAGTAGGTTGAAGAACGATGAATAATGAATTTCTGAATGATCTAGGTGTAAGATAAACACGGTAAAGTACTTGACGCTGAAACAGTGAAAGGGTTAAAGGGAAAAAGCACGCTTACCCAACGAACGTCGAGGTGCTCATGTCGGATAGCGTTCGATTATCCGCCGCAAGACGATACGAAATCCGTTGTGCCGGGTTAAGCTCGCGCCGCCTCGTGCCGCTTTCCACCAGCCGACAGGAACCGGTTCTCTCTGCTGGCTATGCGTGGTCCTCGGAGGTCCGTTCAGCGTTTTGAGGTGGTGGAAGGTGACGGATATGGAAAGGGACGAGCAGCACCGATGCCGACACTAGCGCGCGCCCGCTGCTACTGCGGACCGCCACGATCACGCGGCCCCAGCAGCATCGTGGACCGTAGATTCCGACGCCATTCCTCTTGGCCGCCGCTACGCGCCCGGCGTCGCGGCGCGCGATCGCTCGAACAGTGTTCCTTGCATTCGCGAGGCAGAACGATCAACTGCAAATGGAATTTGTTTGATTTGGAAAGATGAGTTTGAATTGTTATTAGATAAGAAATGTAAAGTTTGAGAGTGGAGATGAAGATGAGGAGGGATTGGAAGAGGAGTGAGTTTGATGGAGAAGTTTGGAAGGTTGGAGCTTTAGACGTTTCAGGGTTCAGTTTTTATTGTAATAACGTGAGGAATTTGGAGATCTTGAGGAATTTTCTTTTTTGTGAAAAGAAGAGACTTGAATGTATAGAAATTGGGGGAAGTGGAGAATGAAATTTGTGAATGTTGAGTTGAGCTAGAGATGAAGTAGATGAAGAGTAATTTCCACACAAATTGAAGAATACGGAAATACCGCCGCTTGATTAATAAAAAGCTACGTTTCCTGATACAGGTGTTACATCTTATCGAAACGGCAGCCTTTCTTCATCCACACTTACCCAACCGCAACGAAAAGAAGTGACACGCGTGCCACTCTCGTATCACGAACAAGAAATCTTCCACTGTTTTTCTCTCGACGAGTACAATGCCTGAAAAAACGTAACTACATTTCGCAAAAAGCCATTGTGGCAAGTGAAATTTCTAAACTCGCTCGTTCGATCAACCATAACCGTAACGCAATTGTACGCGAACGACCAAGGAGATCAATTTCACCATGTTTCAAACAGGAAGAACTTTAATTACAAACCGTACAACAATGCTTCTTACACACTAAAACAACTTTACAACTTTACGAAAAGAGAAAGGATATTTTATACATTTCACCAGTACATTTAGCTACCTCTAGGAACTCCAATTCTATCTAATCGACGAGTTCTACAAGCAACCAAGCATCGTCAAATCTACCAAGACTTTTTAAAGAAACATCTTCCTTAGAGTCTTCTGCTAGATGCAATCTTATCGAACTCCTCTTCGTGCTCTGAAGTGCTCAGCATGTACGCAGGAAGCGTGAATCCAAGAATCTTGTCAAACACAGGTCTAGTCTCAGCTACGTATTCGTAAGGTTCCACTTCCTTGGATCCTTCAGCTTCCTCAGAGCTCTTCGCGTTTGGTTTCTAAAATCGTCGAAACGATCCTCGATGATAACTGACCTGGGAACTTTTTTACTAGGCTCTCCCTGATACTCTTTCACTTCTCTGTAATCAATCTTATCTTCAGCAGGTTCTTCAGAAGTTACAAACGCACACTCCTCCTTCTGGAAGCCTTTTTCATCCAGACATTGGTAACAGGTCATCTTGTCACGCATCATTTTCTTACAATTGGATCGATCTTCTTTCTGGAACTCCTGCAGGACCTTCTGGATCTCTGCTTTCTTCTTGAAAGCGTCGTAGAAGTCCACGTCGACCTTCTTCGGAGTGGACTTAGGCGATTCTTCTTTCACCTCAGCTTTCGAGTCAGCAGAAGTTGAGAATTCTCTTCTGTTGTCGCTGTCGGTAACGTAAGGACTCTTCTCAGTAGAATAATCATAGCTATGGCTCTTGTAAGCAGGTTCTCTAGTCTCTTTCTTTTCAGATTCTCCGTAAGACTTGTCTTCAGTGTCAGTGGGACTTCCAAATGACTTAGATTTGCTGTAAGAGTAGCTCTTGTCACTTGGTTCGTACTTGTAAGAACACTGTTCAGAGTTGCTTCCAGTTTTCGGGTCCTTACAGACTCTGCAAGTCATCGAATCCTTCTGGACCTCCTTGCAGTTACCTGGCTCAATCTTTTCAGCGATTCTCTGAGACTGTGACTTGGATTTCTCGTAGTCTGACACGGATTCATCGTCGTCGGACACCGATTTAGAGTCTTCAGAGGCTGCTCGACTATAGCTGGACCTGGGTTCTTCGTCCTTGAAGTAAGAACTGGATGGAGAAGACTTATACTTCTCGTAGTAGCTCTCGGGGATGGTATAGTCCTTGGTGTAGTCATCAGGCTCGCTCTTAGATTTTTCTGGCGATTTATCTCCTTCGTAACTAGAGTCTTCCTTGGAAGAAGAGCCTTTAGGGTAACCAAAGCTCTTGGATCTACTATACTTGTAGACTTTATCGTCTGGCTGATAGGTGTACGAGCACTTCTCATAGTTTCCACCTGTTTTGGGGTCCTTGCAAACTGTACAAATCTGCGAATCCTTTTCTACCTTTTTGCAATTACTAGAAGCATCCTTAGACTCCTCGCGAGAATCTCTTTCTGTATTCTCCTCCTTACTAGGATGAGAATATTCTCTAACTGGCTTGCTCTCTGAATATTCTCTACCAGATCTCTTGGTATCCTCTTCCTCCTCTTTTTCTTTCTCAGGATTCTTAAATGAGCTGGACTTAGTGTATGCGTACTTCTTCTCAGTTGGTTGATGAACGTACGAACATTGCTCGTACTTGGCGTTGCTTTTCATGTCTCTACAGACCATGCATACCATGGAATCTTTGACTACTTTCTCACATTTCTCGTTTTTGTTCTTGTATTCAGACGGAACGTCCTCTGTCGCGTCTGAGAAGATCTTCTCGTTGAATCTGTATGGATTGTCGTATTTTCTGTACTTCGAAGACGAGTCTTCTGAATTGGATCTCCTGTTTCTGAAGCCTGATGGCTTCGTAATTGCCTCGTCGACGTTGCTGTAATCGGTGAACGGTTGAGAAACGTAGGAGCATTGTTCGTAAGTGGCTCCGTTCTTCGGATTTTTACATTTGTAACAGGTCAAGCTGTCTTTAGCGTCTTTCTCGGATCGTTTCGTTTTGATCTCCTGGCAGAAAGGAACGCCAGACTTCATCACCATGTCCTTGTACTTCTGAGAGTCTTTGTCGGTGATGGTGTAGAACGGAGATATTACTTTCTTGAAATTCTTGTCCTCCATGGGGAGTTTTTTGGTGGAGGATGTTGAGTACCATTCTTTAGGCTTGTCGAAGGACTCGGAGGAGTCGTATACAGGGTGTTGCCTTTCGGAGAAACGAGCGGAGGATGGCGAGTGTTCGGAAGAGGCGAAATCCAGAGGAACGTCACGGTCCATGCGAGTCCATGAGTGGTCGTGGGAGAGAGATTTGAAATGGTCGTCGTAGAATTTGGCATTTGAGAAGGTACAGAAGATCGTCAGTGCTAAGCATGTCTGTGAAAAAGAAAATAATAATAGTTTTAATATCTATTAAATTTGTATCGATTGAAATTCAGTCGTTTATCACACTTTTTATTAAAATTTGAATGTTTATTAAATTTATTATATTCGTATCTATTGCAATTCAAAGTCATTCACCACTTTCTACACAAATGTGAATATTTATTAACTGAATTTTATCGAATTGTAGCAAGAAGAAATGGAACGAATGGAAACATTACCAGGAACAATTTGCTAGAGCGAGAGAAACGAAGCTTGTAGGATGGCATGGTGCGAGTATCGCCGTTCAGTGGACACTTATTCCGTTTCCGGTTCCGGTCCGGCGAGCCACATCACTTTCCCATGAAATGATCTTGCCTCCGCTTGGAAAGCCTTTATATCGACTTGGTGATCCAAAAAGACGCGCCCCACCTCCGTCAACCTATCGCGAAACTCAAGCTGTCCCCTGGAGTCACCGAACAGTTCGCTTCGATCAGAAAGATTTGAATCAGCGACCGTAAAACAGTGCCGGACGCTGTTTGCTCGCCCGTGGCCACCGGTAAAACCATCAATTTTGCCTCGTTAATAGTAAAAAGAACCATACCACACACATTGAATTCATCGATTGCTGTTTCTTGCTGAAAAGAGACTGAAATTCATGATTTCCTCTAATTAGAGAAAGTAATTAATACGTTCGCTACCAGAGACGCAGCATATGTGGTTCAGAATGTATTCTGGATCGATCTATCGATTTTTTAGTAGCAGCGAACGTGTACAAATTTTTGTCAATTTTTATTTGTGACGACAAATGTTTCAAAATTAAATTTTCAGCAACTACTATAGGATACTGGGGTCAAACGTACTCTTAAACTAAATTGGTCTTGCAATAACCACTAAATAGTTTATCAAAAGAAAAAAATTGACACTAATTTTCAAACCTCTATCTCGACCGAAGGGATAGTTACCGGGAAAGATCGGATTATCCTAGCTGTGAAAAAATGAAAACATCAAAGAAATTCAGACTTCTATTGAAATATTAACATTTTAATATTCTTCTATTTTTTCTATTATATAAATTTCACAGTTGACTCGAGGAGCCAGCTCGAACGGCGTTTGAGAGTCCGTCACTGCGATAGAACGTTACGAATCGGATCGACACAGCCGACCGATCGCTAACTGCTCACTTTCATTTATGCAACTCCGTGTTACCGCGATCGACGAAAAAGCCTCGCGACGGACAATAACCCATAAGCACGCAGCGATTTTCGAGGCTTCATCGAAGGGAAAAAAGAAACAGCGCACAGTCTCACCCGGGAATTTTTATCTAACTGCGAGAAACCACCGATCGTTTTCCTCGTAATCGACGTATCTCGTGCATGACCTTAGAGGAGGATCTCGATTGAAGCAATCTCGAGTTAGAAATTGATTTCGAGTAAAATATTGTGAAAAATATTCTTGACTCTTTATTTAACAGGTCGCTATATTGTAAACTAAGTACATGAGCTTCGATATGTAACGAAAGTGAAACGACACATTCCGGTAACAATGCAATTATTTAATAAAAGGCGTGTTATTTTCTCGATCGATTCGTGATTATTTCCGGGGCTAGGCTATAGAGGCGTGAAAAATCGACGAATATTGCGAATGAGTGAAAGACACCGGCTAGAAACTTCATTTTCACTCTCGTTACATTCACATCTTTTTCCTTAAACCTATTATTCGAATTATGTCGTTTAAGTATCGTCGAAAATATGGTGTTTTCTTGTTTGTACAGGATAAAGAGATCGTCTATTACAAACTTTTCTTTTGTAGAATTCTTCTTAGCTGGTTGTTCGATCGTTTTTTTCATTCTTTGAAGGGGTAATTCCGAGGGTAGACGGAAATGTGAGAGACTCGAGGAGGATTCGTCGATTTCTCGAAGAATAGATTTGTTGGAGCAGGTTTCATTTGTAGTTTCGACGCTATTTTCTGCATCATCATCTTCTTGTCGTCGATACTGCTCACTTTACTCTGGTCTTTTTGTTTGTCTTTTTCTGCGTTGCGTTTACGATAATAGAGAACTTCTCCTGCTAGAGTGATCATTGCTAGAGCTAGTCCGAAAAGAGTTGCGATAAACACTCCACCTGAGAAATTATAGAAAAGTGTATAAAATACACTGACAATTACAATTTGATGTTTTATTTATTGCTGGATATATCATTAATTTTCAGAATAAAAAAAATAAAGTAACAATCAAAGAGGACACTGAAAGCGGATGAAAATTCTGGGACCAATATGGCGACGGTTCTTCCTCAAAGACTCACCTAAACTCTCCAATGTAATTCCCTCGTTATCGTCAGAACTGAGACATTGTGCCTTCAGAGTCTGATTCCAATACTTAGCTGCTAAAGTTTCGAAGTACCTGTTCTTCTGTAAGTCTAAAATCCTGCAAGAAAAGATTCCTCGATATGAATTAAAAAGAAATTTCCAATGTATGTACTTACTTTCTGCTTATTTCCTCTTGCAGATGGCTACCCTGTTGCACAGCAATTGCATAAGGTTGTTCAGCAAAGACTTCGCCAACTTCTGTCAGGTTGCAGTTCCTCGTTACCTCATACTTGATCTCCGACGAGTCGTGGATGAAAGCGAATTCAACGTTCTCGCTTTCTATCACCTGAAACAATGTGCAAAAAACGACAGTTTGTCGTCAGCAATTTTCCTGACACGAGCCACTGATTCATCGTCACACCTTTCGAAAACCTTCCTCGGAACTTTTCACCAATCCAACCTGTGTAATCGCCTGTAGAATGTGGCCGTATTGTTCTTTGATCGGGTAATCCCAGACACGATACTGTACCTGATCGCTGGTACTGTTTAACGTGATTTCTTTCCAAACTCTGCGAAGATAAATTAGAGAAAGTCAGTCGAAGAAGAAGTGTTTATTATGAGAGGGTGAAGAGTCAGTTCTCGGAAAAGAAATCGAACTCTCAGATGTTCCAGTTTGAATATTCAAAAATGATTGGTAGAAAGGAGAAGTGAAATTAACAGTATTAAGACAAAAATTCTATCAATTATTTCACTTGTTTAAATTAACTCACGTGTACAATTTATCTTCTGCATTCTTCATATTCTGAAAGTACTGAAACACGCTGGAATTAGCCAGTACAGTGTAATTGATTCTCGACTGTCTCGCTAATTGCTCCAAAGATTGCACAGGAGACTACAACAAAGTACAAATTCAATCCTCTGAATTCTCTCTGCAAAAGAATTTTCAACGTTATTTTAATACATTCACAAAAAATTTGTTTAAAAACCTGCATTCTTTCCACAGTAAGGAAAGCAGCCAAGTTGGCTGTAAACGTAGCGAGCATTAGAACAACAAACAACCAATAAGCAGCTACCAAAGTTCTACTCGACAGTGCTTTAGGAGCTTCTCCTCCACCCTGAGGCGTGAAGGAGGTCAGCGCGAACCAAAAGCTCTCTCTCAGCGTGAATTCTCTAAACAGAAGAGAGTAATTCTATTTAACGATCATCCTCTGACGTAATAATGGATTCACTCCTCAAGAAGCACGTAGCGGATAAGATATAGGGATCGTTAAGAGTGATTTACAACACGTCTCGATATAAATAAGTTAAAGAAATTAGGTAATTCTCACCGACATGGGTATGGATATAGACGCTTATTGTTTCTCGCGCTGTACGGTGAATACTTGTCAAGTATCCAAATCATGATGCCAGTTAGAGTTAAAGCTCCTACGATGCTCAGCCATACTTCCACTTTCAGCACTGTCATGAATTTGAAGAGTGATGGCTTTCGAACCGGCTTCCTTATCACTTGTAAAAGAAATTAATTATAACCATACTTAACAACGTAAATTATCGTATCATAGATACAATAAGAAAAGAAAATAATTGCATAAATAAACTCTCTTTCCAATTTATTTGTCTCTCTATGTATCATAAATTGGAAAGAAAATAATTGCACAAATAAATTTCTTTTTACCGATAAGTATGCCAGATTGTTCGAAATAAGGCGCGACAAAGTCGATCACTTCTTCGCGTTCGGAGGTCATCGTTAACGATGCCACTACAATATCAGTTTCCTATGAAATAAATGTTTTTTTTTTAGATAAAAGAATTTTTGCCAAAGAATCTAGTTTAAAAAAGAGCGATATTAAAAAGATGATTTGTGCGAGAAATTTTACGAAAACAGCGTTGTATGCAGGGAAGTGTAACTGGTTGCAGGTTTTCAGGGGCCTTAGAGATCGATATACCGAGTGTCTCGGAATAAAGTATTCTTACTCCTTTTGCAAGATCTCCGATCAATCCGTCCCATTGTCCATTCGGTAATTTCTTCCCAAATTGATGATCTTGCGGCACAACGAGATCGTAATCGAACTGCATCTCTTCGGATAGTTTCTTTATGAAGTCGACGCAGTAACCGTCCCACATTTCGTTTCCGTTTTCGTCTTTCATTATTTGCCCGGTTACTGGATCCACTTTTGGGACAGTCCAGGGCACTGACTAAAGCAATTTCAACGCTTGAATTAATCCGAATTTCGATGAATTAATTTTTTTAATTGATATTTTCAAGAAAATGAAGGGTATAGTGTTAAGATGAACGAGTTTGTTTATTACAGGAGCAGTTCCAATTCGAAAGAATCTTCTGGCAGGTTCTATCTTCTTCCCTTCAGCTTCTTTAATTTTACTACGCCTCGCCCAAGTGGCTAGAGGCTCTAGAATTCCATTGTCGAGAACTTCTAACTTGATTTCAGCCTTGTACGTTATCATTCTCTTGTCTGACCAATATTCGAACGTGTCGTTACCTCCTAATTTCTGGAATAATACTTTATCTTCAATTTTTAATCGATTTTATAAGTGATTGTATAGTTTTAGGATGATTTACCGCTAATATGTTCTTATTGAACGCCTCTGATGTAAGATTAGAGGCTTTACTCGCGTTTGACGAAGAACATCGACCGGTTTTTGGTTCCACGCTGATTCCAGACTTTTGTAATTCACTCATTAGGTTCACTATGAGTCCTATTAATCGTTTAAAATAATGTGGGAATATCTATAGGTGTATGGGAAGAAGAAAGTAGATTTTAATCGATAATTTTCGAAGATACAGTATTTGGAAGTAATTTTGAATTACCTGAACGTCGGGAGGACAATTGCAAGTGTGGTCGCCAATTAATTTGCAACAAACGTCCATCTTCATGGAAAAAACAGTGACAGAAACGTTCAACTGCTGGTCTCCGTTGATGAACTTAAAGTCTCTGTAATTGTTATCGGTGAATACTAGGTTCCATATTCCATTTCTCTTTACCAAGCCTCCTTGTACAGCCTGCAGAATTTTATTCGGGTAAAATAAGTCAAATGTTCCATAAAAATCTCTCAAAGAGCTCTCGAAGAGCTCTCAAAAATCTCTCAAAGATCTCTCAAAGATCCCTCAAAGATTTCTTAAAAATCTCTCAATGATCTTTAAAAATCTCTGAAAAATCTCTCAAAGACCTCTCAAAGAGCTCTAAAAAATCTCTCAAAGATCTCTCAAAGATCTCTCAAAGATCTCTCAAAGAGCTCTCAAAGATCTCTGAAAATCTCTCAAAGATCTCTCAAAGAGCTCTCAAAGATCTCTGAAAATCTCTCAAAGATCTCTAAAAAATCTCTGAAAGACCTCCGAAAAATCTCCGGAAGTATTCACCGTTCTGAAGAGATCCTCCATCTTGTCGGTGTCCGCGTAGATCGCGTAATAAGATGGCGACGGTCTCATGCTCCTGATCTTCGACACCGTTTTCTCCGTAAAATCGTCGATCACTACCAGCCGTATGATCGAGTTCCCGATTAAATAGTAGAGACTCTGATTCAACTCTGTAAGAAACAAACATCCTTTTCCACCACATCTGCCACAATATAGCGAACGATTGGTATAAATTGAAGGCCGATGTCAAGGTACCCCTTTCATCTTCGAAGATCAGGCCCACGTCCGTGGCGTTTTTCAACATCAAAAGATCGTCGATCGCCTGAACGTACGGATTTATACTGCAATCGCCCCGTTTGTATATTATTCCGTTCTCGTCAGCCAGGTTCCTTAGCCGATCCCACCCGGTCCAGGTCATGTCGAGTATGATACTGATTCCCTTAAATAAGGCAGCACATACTGCAAGTTGATTTTAACGAGACGAGAATAAGAACGGAGCGCGATCATGGCGGAGAAGCTTTTTAATACCATATAGAGCTACTATCGACAGCTTCAAATTAAAATTAACCAACATTTCTAAACCTGAGAAAATCTATTTTTCAACCCTTTTCAATCGATCCTCGTTTGCCAAATAAAATTCCTGACATTTTTCACAAACCAACATAGAGATAACCAATTTCATTTCAACGTTGAATACACTTTCATCGAAATTTAAAATTTTCATTAATTGTTCGTTTTATTTAAAAATCGTATGTTTCAGGATCGCTATCGATAGGAACCTCGGAGTCGTGAAAGCTGCGCAAGTTTCCACGACACTTTCAGCTTCTTAACCTTTCTCGAAACTGCTGTCCACGTTGGACCGATCGACTTGCACAGTGGAAATATGCACGGTGATGACGCCGTTGCCGAAATTCTTCTCCGCTTGTGGCGCAGCGTCGTTCAGGATGCTCAAAATCGTCGTGTCTGGCTCCTCTATCACTATCACTGCACCAAACAATAGAAACAACATAGATAAATGACATTCTTAAAAAAAAAAAAAAAACAAATATTCTTCATAAAACATCGAAACAATTTGCAATTAGATTCCACGGATAGCGTTTTCGATACATTTTTCCACGTTGCTTCTCACGTGGGATTCACAGAAGTGAATTTTTATCAACACACGCGACCTTCTATCGCGATTGATATTCATTATCGAATATTCCGATCTAATCGTGCAGTAATTATCTAAACGTGTAAGTCATTATTTCCAACGAAGGGAAGAAATTACTGGTAGCTGAATAGGACAGCTTTTCCATTTCCCTCTCTCGCCATTAAACCGCAATGAAGCGTAATAAGTCCGTGTCTATCTCGAGGAATAATCGAGCGATTATCGCGTTCTCTCCATCGTTCTCTTTTTTCCATTTTTCCACCGATCGTCGCCGATACACTCGCCCGTTTCGTCCAGTTTTCTATGTCAAGGTTGGGATATTTCGTCCCGGTGGTCTCAGGAAGATAAGGAAGGTTTTAGCCGGGCGATTAACGCGTGAATAATTCAGCAACGGTATACGGCAAGTTTTCGTATCGTTGTATCGGGAACGAATCAAAGTTTCATGCCGCCCAATCAATGTTTCACCGATACAATCGATGCATTTTACTTTCACTAATCTTTCTTGATACTGATATCGTATGCTGGAAAATATTTCGCGATAATTATCTACGCGATGAAATTACAGAAAAAGAGGAAATTTTGCCAATTTTGAAATGGAGAATGGCTGCAAAGGTATCCTTTGAAATGTGGTACTTTAGACCTTGTTAACTTGTAAAATCGTGTCTGCACTGTGAAACAGTGTTACGAAGCAAATTGTTTTGTAATCTTGTACAAAGTGTCTTTAAATCATAAAAATGTTCCAAAGTATCTACTATCGATCTTATCAATTTTAAAATAAGGAATGACTGCGAAGGTACTCTTTAAAAAATGGTACCTCAGCCCTCATCAACTTCTATAAAATACGTCTACACTACAAAACAGTGTTATAAAACAAATTACTTTGCACAACATGTTTCCATAACTTGTTACAAGACTACACCTTTTGGTACTACAGCAACACCACCTGAACAAGTTTGCATTTGTTCCTTTGCTCGACATATAACTTGCTACATTGCACTATAAAAATCCTATTCTATTACTTTTCACAACTTTGCTATACAACATATTACGTTACAAAGCGTGAGAGTAACTTTGAACCGAGCACTGTGCTATTACAGAAAGATACACGCAAAAGCGGTAGATCTTAATTGCACGACGACAGGCAAATTCGAAAAATGGGAAAGTTGTGGTGAAAATGAGCGAAGATAAAGAGACTTACGCATGTTCATGGGCGTTTGACAGAGGGAACGTCCAAGGAACGTGGCAATGAGCAACATGCTCGCGGCAACAGCAGCGGTGGACATGGCTGTGGAGAACCGAGTCGGTGCCGTATCAACGAGCAAACAGTTGTCTTCCGCGTGAACCGTCGGACAAGCTAGAGGACACCGTCGACGGCAACGCCTGCGCCTACTGTCCAACGACGCTCGCTTATGAATATTACACCGTCACCTATCAAATCGTGATCCTTGCTCGCCGTGAGTACAGCTTGGCTACGTGGAGGCACGACGTGACATCCTGACGTGCTTCTTCCACCTTGGCCATCGATTTATCGCTAAAACCTCTGACCAGCTGCCAAGGATTACCAACCTGAACGCACGCGAACAGATTCTATGTGGAGCAACGTTGTTTCGCAGCTCGTGGAGAACGTTTCTGTGATGCTTTGTTGTATTTTTTTAGAAATGGAACTTTTGAGAGTGGGAGAAAGTTGGAAATGGAACCGTTGACATGGTTTTCGTTGACATTTAGCGATTACAGGCGTTTGGGAAATTTAGTCGAATTGTGCTTTCGTCGCAAATATAGATAATTTCATTTTTGAGACGTTTGGTGTATTAGATCCGCTTGTACGTAAAGTGGAAGGTCAGAACGCTAGGTTCGCTGCCACCGACGCAACGTATGCGGCCCGGAATGTATTAGTTAACGTGGTATCGATTTTTTGGTGGCAGTGAGGGTGTTAAACACTGAGTTTAAATTCGCTTTTTTATTTGGCCGTCATTTTTAGAACGCTCGGTTCGCTGCCAGTGACGCAGCATTTGCGGTCCGGAATGTATGACTTAGCGTGGTATCGATTTTTGGGTGGCAGTGAGGGTGTTAAACACTGAGTTTAAATTCGCTTTTTCATTTGGTCGTCATTTTCAGAAAGCTCAGTTTAATACGTTCGCTGCCACCGACGCAGCATGTGCGGTCCAGAATGTATTGCTTAGCATGGTATCGATTTTTGGGTGGCAGTGAGGGTGTTAAATACTGAGTTTAAATATGCTTTTTCATTTGGCCCTCATTTTCAGAACGGTCAGTTCGCTGCCACCGACGCAGCATATGCGGTCCAGAATGCATTACTTAGCGTGGTATCAATTTTCTGGTGGCAGCGAGGGTGTTAAACACTCAATTAAAATTCGCCTATTCATTTGTATATGCAATGTACCGTCATTTGCAAGGTAGCAGTCTTCTAAAGTTTAAAATCTCAAAGAGAGGCTATAGAAATTTTTGTACTTATTATATTTTTGACTGTATTTGTGCACCAAATGTGATATACAGACGTGATTGAAAGGAAGTCTGTCGCTGCGAAAGGGTTAAGGACTATTCTTATCAGACTAAATTGCACGAATTGGAGAAACTCGAGGAAACGAAGGATTTGCAAGGAAACTTAAATAAATTCACACTTAAATTTTCCCGTCAATTTTATTGAACTTTCTTACACAAACGTTCTCGATTACGCTAGAAGTGAGCACGTGAACAGTGTTCCAGCAACGGCAATAAATGATCGATACGCACATTATTGATTCGCCGTGCACGTAACATTCACGTTCGACGAGAAACCCATTCCACCGAGGTAATGCCTGCTATCAGGGATCCGTTTGATGAAAACACCAATTTCCTAATCGATAATTGATTGCATCGCGTTCACGCTAACTTCATTCCGTTCTGAAGTCGCGAAATTCGATCGGAATATTCTCCCTCGCTATTTTCACGACCGCTGAACGATAAAGTTCCCTTTAACCGCGTTCAGGTTCTAAATCGCTTCATCGAACAGAGTTCTCCGATTGAATCGCGCGATTCCAGAGAGCTGAAGGAAGAAAGAAAGAAAGAAAAAAGGAGCAACAAAGAGGACGAAGAAGATGATGGTGATGAAGGAAAGGAAAAAAAAAAGAGAAGAAAGAAGAGACGAGGCAGATGATAGAAATGGAGTTTCTCGATCAGGTGAACCTTAGCCACGACGAACAGCCCGAACGGCAAACGTCACGTTTTCCCATTATCAATCCTGATCATGGTCTAAGGTTGATTAATTTCCATGGTTGAGGAAACCTGTGAATCGATGATGCGCGGTCACAAAGGATAATGACGCAAAGGATCGAGATTGCGCCGCAGATGTTTCCCGAGGCCAGCTGAAGCGAAATGCTTCAATAGTCTCGCACTATTTTTAAATATATTTCAGATGTCCTTTTATGCGTGCGCAATCTCCAGGAACCTGCCCCTGCGGCCTATTGTTTCTCACAGTTTTCCCGTAGCCACCTGCTAAGCTTCACCGTAACTCCCCAGCTCTCTCTATTATCCTTCGATTATTTGTTTAGAAAATTCTGTAATACGTAACGATCTCATTCCTTTTGCAGTTTCTATCAATCTGTATTTAAAAATTTACGGCAAAATTGACGTGGAATTGTGTGAAAGACATAGGTTATTAATTGAAAAAAGTGTAAATTGTTGAAAGATTTTGAAATGTTGGAAATTTAGAAATGTAGAAAAGTTAGAAATTTTGAAAAATGTGTAAGGATTCTTTAGAGTAAAACAATTATTGAAATTTTTTTATTAGATGGTAAAAAAATTGTATACAACGTGAGGAATAGGAGGGCGCCACGTTGTATTTGAAGGTTAAATTCCCTTCCAACAAATGTACATATATCGCCGCCAGATGACGCACCGTGTGCACGGGATGTGTGCCTTAAAAGACAATTCTGATTACCGTTCCCTGTGTTTCGTAGACTTTATGAATCGGCGCATCGCATTACGTCATGCATCAGCTTGCATAATACGCTGCGAGATTTTTATCGTTACGTGAATTAAAATTAACACAATCGGTGGAATTCGAGGAGAAGGGCCGGTAAAACAGGAAGCGACATCATCGTCCAATATAAATAAACGTTCTAACGTTGGTCGTCGAACACGGGGTACGCTGTATAAATTCTCTCCTACTTTTTATCCCGTTTCTCGCATAAAAGATATTGCGTGAAAACGATTCATTAAAAGCTGCGTTAAAAAGATGTGCAAAAAGAAAGTCGAACGGATAAACAGGAAAGATGTTAGATTGAGATGTTTAATCTGAATCGTCATAACTGTATCCACAAATTGTGCCCGCTTTCAGCGTTGGCGAGCTCGAGCGGATCGTAAAGAAATGTTTGAAAAATACGCGCAGAATGGCAGTTAAAGCGGCGGCTTTTCCATCACTGACGTATCTCGTCGAAGAGTTTCGGTATATTTTTCTTGCATAATTTAGTTCACCAGACGTTGCAGTTCTTTTTAATCGGCCGCCAATTTTCGGCCTAAAATACTGCTCCAGTTTCATGGAATATGGAACACATGCAATCCGTACACGAATTTTTCTGCCGTTGCACACGTGTTCCGGAACTCGTGAAATTTCCGTGCAAGATTAAACGGAAACATCTTATAATTGCACGGAATTTCCACGGAAAAAGATCATCTAACCTAGATTGCATTCTATATAAAGGGACCGAGAAGGGAATTAGGGCAAGGCAAGTGAAAAGAAAGAAGTACGAACGTTAGAGGTGACTCGAATGTAATAGGAAGAGGCATTAGCATAAACAGTGCAACGATGCAAATATATACGTTCATACGAGCGACTGATACACAATTTAACTACCGTTACGGGACACTCGGTGTAGAGAGAAGAAGCGGCGTCGATCGAACGAGGAAGAAGTAAAGAAAGAAAAAGAGGAAAAAAAAATTGAAAAGAGAGGAAAAGAACGGGAGAAAACACGCGCGGCGAGCGCGTGCACTAGAAACGAAATGCACGCGTCAAAACGTATTACAATTTCACGCACGAAAAGTTACACGAAAAGGTTCGTGGAACGCGAGCCAGTGAATATACGACGGATTACAACCCTGCACCGGACAACGGTGGACAATTTCACCGGAACAAAGTGACGGTCGATGAGAGAAGAAAAAAAAAAAGAATTATTTGAAGAAAGGTTTTTTATTTTCTTTCTTCGACAGGAACTCGCGTCGCGACACGAATTCGGAAAGAAAGTAAAGCTATGGAAGATATCGCGGCGGGTTGAAGGAAGAAAGGAAGAAGAATGGAATTTTATTCAAGAAGCGCTCTAATGCGGGAAGTACGGGCTCGGTGATTTCCGGATGCAATCGGTTGTTTCCGGCATGGCCGCCCTCCCGAACCAAACCATTCATTCGACGGAGAGCGAGAAGCGACGAATTGAACGAAGAGCGTGATAGGAAGGTGGTAGGTAGAAGCGAGAGTCCCGTGTGAAGAAGGATGGAGAAAGTGAGCGAGCGAGTGAATGAGAGGTGAGCAGAGGGAAGGGCAAGAGGAAGGGAGAAGGAAAGCGGCGCGGCGCGGCAAGGGAGGGGAGCGAGGAGAATACAGGAGAGGTAGGCACGGCCGATTCGAGAAGGCTGGCAGGCTGCTGGTAGGCAAGAGCAAGAAAGCGAGGGAGCATACTGGCTGGCAGGCAGGCAGACTGGCCGGCCGCGCTGTGTAGTTAACAGAGAGCTGCCAGCAAATCGGCAGCAGATGTGGCCAGTTAGCTCGGTGCTGTGTACTAGTCCGGATCACCGGTGTCCCGTGGATTTTGATGCACCGCGACCGAATCCGCCAGTCGATAGTAGCGACAACAGCGATCAGTTGCTGAGCGTGAGCCTCGCCGCCGCGCGACACAAACATAGACACACATACACATCGTAGACACACGTATAATACAAGCACGGCCTCTCTTTCTCTCGAGCGAGAGAGAGAAGGATGCGAGAGCACGAAAGGCTGTGAAAGGCTTAGAGAATCGGTGACAAGTCGTGGCAAAGCAGGAAAACCGTTCTCGTTCCGGTGAAGAGGACGGAAGACGGAAGACGGGACAGGACAGGACAGGACAGGTTAAGACAGGACTGGCGACACAACAAGGGAAGCAACCACGGTGTCTCGAGGTGCATCGAGTAAGAGAAGAGAGAGAAGAGGAGAAGAAATCGAATGGAACAGTCGGTCGCGCGCCAGCACCAAGAACGCAGTGACCGTCGTACCTGTCCGTCGGTGGCCGAAGACTTGCCCGATCGAGACTCAGCAGTGATGTGGCAACGTTGCTGGTGGCTCGCGAGCGGAGGAGTCAGTCGTCGCTCGGCTGTTCTATCGTAGTCTGTGTCTGACAGTGCGGTGTCGCTGCCCAATAGAACCGCGAGGGCCCGTCAGGGCCCACCAGTACCGCGAACAACAACCGCGATTCTAAACCGCGGTCACGATGACATATTCAAGCGGAGAAAGAAGAACGAGTAACAACAGCACCAGCAATCGAGGGATAAAGAAACAACGTGCGTTTCTACGATAGCGCCGTTCGCGTTATTGTTCCTGGTTATCCTACATATACATATATATATATATATATATATATATATGTATATACATACACATCATATATATCGTTGTAAAATAGCTGGCAACCCATGAGAGAGGAGAGAGTTTCGTGGTTCGCGGGAGAGTAACCAGTGCTGACACGAAACGTGTACATATATGATTACGGTGTGTCGCGCGGGTATTCGTACGAGATATACGTGCTGCTGGTTTGTTTCGAGCTCGAGGGGCACGACGACGACGAAGACAACCACGACGACGAGAGGCTTTCTTCTTCGAACCTTTAACAGTTCCTAAGAGTGCGCGTACGGCCGTTTTACGCGTCTACTATACTCGAATGTCGAGAAACGAATGAGTGCGTGAATCGTGACAACATCGTGTCGGAGTGTACGGAAAGAGAGAGAGAGAGAATCCCCATCTTCTGTCTCGTTCTCTCTGTTGCTCTCTCGCATCCCGTAGAGGCCGTGGTCGGACTTTACGCCGTCGTACGCGCTTCTCCCCTCCCCGTCGACCCCGGTACCGACTGTGTTCTTTCTCCCTCTCTCACCCTGAAGGCCAATTTATCTATCCCGTCGGCCGTACGTCTGTCTCAGTCTATACCATTCCGTCTGTGCGCGCTGGCAGAGAGTTTTCACTGGCGCGACACGGCACGCGCGCACGTACATACACGAGACACGTAAACGAAACCGGCTGTCCAGGCCAGAACTATCGGGAGTGTCAAAAGATCGGAGGAAAATCACGGGCATGGGAACAGTGTGTGCCGTGGACTGAAAAAACAGTGCGCGACCGGTTGTTGTCCCGTGCGCGACCGCGCGGTTCCGACAGAGGAGGATATCTCGCGTTTCGTCCGCTCTTCTGTGGTGTGCCTGTGTGTCCCTTTACCAAGGAGGAAGAGAGGTTAGGTTAGGCTAGGCTCGCGTCACCCCCGGCCACGCACCGTCCTTGTCTATCTCTCTTTCTCTCTCTCTGTCTATCTACGTTCCTTCCCGCCCCTCTTTCTCTGGCATACGCGAAGAGGAACGCGCAGACACGAGAGCCAGACCGACTACTACTACTATTACCACCACACTAAACCACCAACACACATAGACACACGCGCCCAGCCAGCCAGGACAATTGGGGAAAGAGGAGGAAAACACAAATGCCGATCGCCGGTGGAATTCTGGTCGCTGGAACCGCGGCTCATTGCCTGTCTTCCGCCGCTGGCATGCTTCGATTCCTGGCTAGACTTTCAGGTTAGCACGCAAATCCATCTCTTAATCCGTTGACAATACGTATACGACGATATGTGTTCACGGCCGCGCGCGTTTCTGTCGAGATACGCGGTGTGTTCTCGTTTTACCCACAGAGAGAAAACAGCCATGCCACACACGCAACACACACACACATCGACACGCATAGACAGACACATACACAACCCGTCATCTAGGGAAGAAAATATTAAACGACGATCGGTATCTAATTGTACCGAACGAACAACGTCATTCGTCAATAGGTAACCCGCCAATAAGAATCGTCGATAAGTATTCCATTGGGTTGCATGTGTCGATGACCGTTGCCTGGCGAATTATCGGTCGAGAAATATTTCTCTTTTTTCTTTCTTTTTTTACGGATCCAAGAATGGAAAAATGTCCCGACGATGTCGCGACGTCTCTCCGTTATTTTTCGATTTTTCCAACCGTATCCCCGGCGTGCGTGCGTTCGTCCGTCCGTGCGTGCGTGCGCGTGTCTCTTTTTCCCCGAGCATCGACGACGACGACACGACGACGCGTGCCACGACGTCTCTCTGTCTCGCTCTATCTCTGTCCGTCTGTCTGTCTATGTCTCTGTTTGCCGGTAAAATTTCGCTATTTTCTCGGTCGCGTCTAGCCGCGTCGCGTCGGGGCCGCTGCCGCTGCCGCCGGGGAATCCGTGCGGTTTCGATTCCCAGACTTTCGAGTCAGTGCACCGCTACTGCTAGCTGTTAAATGGAAGCGTACAGCGGACGACGTAGACAGAATAAGAGGAACAAAAAACGGGAGACGGCCTCGTAGCCGCGGGTATTATACGAGTTCGCGTGTATCCCGTGCAGGAGAGGATTTGACGTATCGACTCGGATTTCCATAGCGTCGCGTAAAATTAACCTTCTCAGTCTCTTCTCCCTCTCTCTCTCCACCCATCGTACCTCTTAATCCCTGTCGTCGATCGTTGTCATCGGTTTCATACCCGCGCATTCACATGTCTCGTGAATTTTTTATCACCACTTGAAATTTCGACGATATTTATTAACACTCTTCGTACTACGATACTTGGACGACTCGTCACAGTTTTCACGAGATTAAAGTCCAGATTAGACTAAGAATGTCAAGAATTCTGTAATTTTTTTTTTATCGACTGAACATTCTACAGGAAATTTTTTTCAGAAATTTCGAATATCTTTTCTGTCGGTAAAAAGAACGTTTGAAATTCGATTCGGATGGTGTTGTTCTCGCGTTCGATAGAACGGCGATACCGGTGAAAGTGAAATAACAGGAAAGGGTTATTCCCTCTCGATGCATTTCCCATGCAACCTTGTTACGAATAATTCCGCAATATCTCGTTAGGCTTATCTTGGTGTTGGCTGTTGGGTAAACAGGAAGGAAGCATTTCGATGTTCACGATAACCCAAGTAATCCGGTTATTTATATCTATTACTACACGGATAATTCGTCGTATGGGATCGGTCACGATTTCTGGCGAGTTAGGAAAAACCGTGAATTTCACGGCGCAGTCCTCTTATCCCTCGGCTATCCGTTACCGAGTTCTCGGTTGTTGGTAATTCGTTTCTAATTGCAGTACCGTGTTCTAGAATCGGTTGAACTTCGTATTGGATGACTTATAAGAGCTGAAGCGTGGCCTGGTTAGATCGTGGAAAAATAAAGAATTTCGTCGAGAGAGAAACGACGATGGTAATTATTTGGATTACGGCAATCTATGGCCGCTCGAGTAAGCGTCCTCTTGACACACACGTAGCGACACAGCAACACCGATTCTTCTCGCACCGTTCTTAATTAGCGGCCAAATGATCGCTATTGTCGCTGTTGGTTTCGTAACGAGTAACACCGTGAAACCAATCTTCTCCTCTCAGAGACGAATAAGTCCGTTTCAAAACCATTGAAACTCTTCTTCTTTCTTTTCTTTTTTTTTTTTTAAATTAAATTAAATTAAATCTTCAGGGTCAAAACCAGATCTATTTTCAGGCTGTCGCGAAATTAGTTTCTAAAAGGGTGCGCATAAATCTCACGTGACTTTTAAAGGTGCAGCATATAGAAATACTTGGCGGTGCTTCACAGTCATTGAGCTACTTTGTCGCGGCGAGATATAACGGTAGATAACGGAAAGTTGTAACGCCGTACCGTGTGTTTTTTTTTTTCCGAAAAATCTGTTGGCAAATATCAGTTCAACCGTGTGCGTGTGTCTCGTAATCGTCGTTCGACGTATCTTATCGCCGTCCCGTCGACGATCGACACGTCTCATCTTTGGATAATTCCAATTCGTCATTTCTACCTGATACCGCGATTCACGTGAAACGTCGATCTTTTTCCAACACATTTTAGCCACGATTTAAAAGGCGAATCTTCCTCGTCGCGGAATTCTCGCCGGTTCGGTATATCGATTCGATCGAACAGAGAGGAAGTTCGTCCAATAGGCAGTCGACACAATCTCCCCCTTCGTCCCTCTGTCTCTCCTACATTAATTCATGGACGTGTGAATGAGAGTAACCTTTACGCGAAAAATCAGCCGCAAATACATCAAAATATAAATAGAAGTGTGTCGTCTGGGACGCAACGTGTGTCTCTAGAGAGAAAGAGAAAGAGAGAGATAGTTTGGTGACTCGAATGGAGAATTTACCTGCGTGGTTAGGATGGAATACACACAGATTGTATTCAGAGAGAAAATTTCGTGGTCGACACGCGTGCACAAGTAAATAGGCGGTCGCATCCGCGATTAGCGCATTTTCCACCGACTAGAGTGTCGAGCGTGGCAAATATGTAGAAGAGATTCGATGCAAATCGCGGCAAAAAGTGAGAGTGGCAATGAGTCAACATCCGTGTTCAATGTTTTAGCCTATCCATCGATAGGTTTCGAATGGAAAACAGTTTCGTTGCATTCTTTCACTTTTTTTTCTCTCTCTCTTTATTTTTCCACGATTTGTCGATTCTTTTTCCTCTTTCACCGCGAACGTTTCTCTCTCCGTTCACGTGCGTGGAGAGCGCATTTTCTTCAAGGGTTGACGAGAGACGGAGGGGTAAATCGAATTCGATAGGGCAGGATGCAGAGACAGGAGCAGGCTGATTTTCTCGTTAAATCGCTTGCAGACGCTTTATCTTTAGAAGCCACGGACAGACAGTGGCACCGGTTTTTTTCTCCTTAACGGAAATAGCTATCATTCTATGCGGCTTAGAATGAACCGGCAATACTCCGCAAAATTTATTTTCGACGTGTAGGTTTACGTATCCGCCGTCTGGCTGAAATATCGGATCATCAAAGGGGGCGAGGGAAAATTCGCTAAATTTCGATCCCTCCTTCGATCCTGTCCCTCTTCGCTTCGTTCAATGCAGCCCCGTTTCCACGCAATCGGATATTCCAACGCTCTGACAATTCTCGCAGGGTAAAGGATAATTCTTCGTTTCAGAACTAATTTCCTCGTTGAAAATTTCATTTCTCCCTTCCTTCGAGGTGTTCAGAAAAAACGTCCATCCAGGTGTATTAAAGAATACTTAAGATTCTACCATAGCCACGAAAGCGGTGCAATCTCGCAGGCTAGAGATTCCCGTACAGTTTCACAATTTCTCTGGCGGCGCGGCTCGGAAACGGTACGCCCAAAAAAGAAGCCTTCTCTCACTTTCACGATTCGCCTAACAGCTCCATCCCCTTCTTCTATACGAACCTCGTGCGCGACTCGTGCGGAAGAGCTTTTATCCTTGCAATAAACCGCACGAGAATATCTCCCTCTCCCCGAGGAAACGAGAAAAAGAAAATGAGAGGAAATACGAAGGAGAGAGGTAAAAGAAAAGTCGTAGGAGTAAATTGGAAAAATATGGGCGCGCCTCCGGCTGGCGTTAAACGGCGCGTATCTCGCTGGACTTGGGCTGTCTTTAACACTCTTGAAATCAACGTGCCTCTCGATTAGCGTGAAATTTCGAAAGGCTCGGTCCGCGTTTCGTTTCGTCGTTATATATATGTATATATGATTCACGGTTCCGGTCAATCGATCGCGCCGATAAAACGCCACGTACTTGCAACAGGGAAGCTTTTATTCCGTTGAAATTGGCCGTGTTCGTGATATATATGTATACGTATGAAATTTAAACCGAGCTCGAGAGTATTTCTGTCCCCATTAGCAAATAGCACATGAATTATACATGGCCGTGCTGTTAATTAGCGGCGATGTGTTATGTGTCGGTTTATCGAGTTGGAAAATTAAATGGTTCGATACGTGAGCGCGTGTTTTAAGGAGGGAGGAGAGTCTATACCGAATTTATGGTGTGAACCAATGGCTCTCTATATCTGGCTTGTTCAGGTATAGCGTTAGGACCGTCAGGTGTAATTTAAATTCCGGTGTGCCGAATGGAAATCGTAAAGAGAACGATACGGAACGAGTTTCGTCTGATTGAAATCGACCATTTTACGATCGATTTAGACGGGGAATATTCATATTTTAATAAGGTCCACACACTGTCCAGACGTGTTTATGCTTAGTTTCACCGCTTTCTAGACATCAGACTATCTGGAATCTCGCGCGAGGTGAATAAGTACCATTCTCTCCATCTTCGATCTCGAATCTTCCTTCGGCGAGAAATTCCACCGTTTTTCTTTCGAGAGATTGAAAATATTTTCTTGGCGCAGCAAGTATCGATTGATTATGCGCAAATTTTGAGAGGTTCAGGTCTTCTTCGATCTCGAATCTTCCTTCGGCGAGAAATTCGACCGTTTTTCTCTCGAGAGATTGAAAAAATTTTCTTGGCGCGGCAAGTATCGATTGATTATGCGCAAATTTTGGGAGGTTCAGGTCTTGTTCGATCTCGAATTTGGCGAGAAATTCGACAATTTTCCTCTCGAGAGATTCAAAGTATCTTCTTGTCACATGCACGCGCGTAGTGGCGTAAATTTGGGAGGTTGGGGTGTAATTGGATTGTTAAAGATGTACGTTTGGCAGGATTGTTGGGAAGAGAGGAGTGTTAAACGAAGGGAGAAAACGACAGGCCAGCAATCC